AAAGTCTGGCAACTCTTTCAGAGTCGTAGATAGTCGATTGATCATGCCTAGATGGAAGCATCTCATGTCTGGCAACTCTTCAAGAGTGTTTGAAGCAGTGAAGGTCGATTGATCATTTCGAAGTCTATTAATCATGCCTAGATGTAAATGTCATATCATATCTGGCAAGATGTAAATGTCATATCATATCTCTTTAGGTGTCTTAAAAGCATCGATTGTCAAAAATATTCAAATCCAAATGCAAATATCTCAACTATACTTTTCTATAATTTCCCAAACAGTTTCCCAACATAATCAGGTTTATGTTAACATACAAATAACAGAAGCAAGCCACTGAGCAATCACATTTCCTGTTCCGAGTGAAAATAACCTTTTGTTAACAGTTGCTTAGCATGCATATGTTATTGTAGCTGAAAAGCAATTTGTAAATGACTGAAAAAGGGGTCAAACATTTTCTGATTTTTCTTGAGCAATAACACATGTTGACATTGATATATTAACTAAACTCAAGATAAGAAATATATGTTTTTCGTATCGAAACACAAAGAAATAAAAACAATATCAGCTTTCCAGATGGCGACTTTCTGGCTAGAAACAACTCCGAATACCGAGTAATTAATCTGAGCAAATACTTTTAAGCCGAATTCGTTATTATAAATAAATGTATTTCTTCTTGAATTGTGCAATTGCAATATTAATAATTCCTTGAAGTTGGCGCTAGTCATAGATTTCAAGTACCGAATTCCTCAATAGTCGAAATGTAAACATATCGCATTGATTGTCGGAATTGATTTATATGTCAGAGATATGCGTGTCTAAACAGAAGTCCAACTTGACGTGGCCGGTGCTTAGCACTTTTATTTACAGCTGACAGCAGCACTTTCTACATTTGGGCATTATGTCTAATTTGACGTTGCTTGTTGAAAAGCAAAAGCAATTTTGTTAACTGATAATTAGCAGCAGCAGCAACTACAACAACGACGACGACGACGACAGAAGACAACGCAGCTATCAGTCCCCTACAACAACAACAATAACAACAACAGCAACAACTGCGACGACTCACTCATATGACTTGGCAGACCACGAGACTTCACACATGAAGCCACAGTGGCAAAGGCGACAGCGTTGGCATTTAAATGTGATTATACTCTGTAAAATGCAGCAGGCACAAATGGGGCATATTAAATGATCAGCACTTTTGAGCCAGAGTTGAATTTGGCAGCTGTAAGTTGGCCTGAACCAGTCCAAGATTTATATACTCTATTATACTACTCTTTGAATCATGTCAGAGGTTTCAGGAACTTTTAAAAAGCTTTCAAGCTGCTTCAAAGCACATATTCTTATGAGTACATACATTCACTTAATCATATAAGAGAGAGAGGGAAAGAGGGTAAGCTTTAAACCGCTTCAAGGACATAATCTGATTATAGTTATAAATAATTTAATCCCATTGCAGCTTTTTAAAGAGCTTTAAACCGCTTTTTGAACCGCTGCAGTGCAGCTTTATTCAGAGACTGCCTGCTTGGGGTATAATTAGAGTCAACCAAGGATCTATGGCCCATTTATAGGTTTATATTTACTGATGGCGGGACCGAGACTTGTAAATACACACACACACACACACACTCGCTTAAGTCGCATATATACCCACTGATAATAGAGGCAGGGTGACTGTTTGCACTAAGACACGAGGCTGCTGCGAAGCAAATGTGTTGGCTCAAGGTGCACAAAAATAACAAAATAAAAAACAAGTTAAAAAAGAAAAAAGCCAAAACAAAATTCCCTAACAAATACACACAGTATGCGAATATGATATGTGGCCGAAGGGTCCGGCAGTGACCAGACAGTTGGGCGCCCAGCGGCAAATTAGATGATCTCGTAATGGGCCATGTAAATCACGATAGTTATACCACATAAGCAGGGGGATTACGTGTGTATTAATATGGCAGAAGTGAAGCGCTAATGATTGATGTGTTGCCCTATGTGAATGTGTGTGTGTGTGTCCGAGTGTGTGTGTGTGTTTGTTAAAGCAATTCGCGCACACTTATCAAGTTTAATGAATTTCCAATTTACAATCAATTTTGGCACTCGGCTAGCCACAAAAGAGACTCGAAACCAAATTATTTATAACATTTGTAGATTGATTTATTTATGTGTGAAGGAGACGACGACGGCGACATCGCATTGGCCGATTTTGATTAGCAATCAAATAAATCGACTATTTCACACGATCCCCCCCAATACCATATGCAGACACAATATGAATATGAATACGATTGTTGGCATAAAATTTCCACAATCGAGTGCTAATTGGGGCATAGACATCGTCTTATATAGAGATATGTATGGCCACGTGCTCAGCTGATTTATTCGTGTGAAAGCTGGCGACTCACTGTGTAAACATTGAAAATCCCACCAAAAATAAATAATAAATATATATAAATTTATCGAAAATTATTAACCACGTGCTAATAACTAAGCACACACCAAATACATATACATATATATATATATATATATAAATGTGTGTCTGTCAAATGATTTGGCTATGTGGGTTAGGGGTTTTGACGCTTTTGAAATACATGATGCGCCGCTGTTTTTGGTTTTACCAATTTATTTATTTATCTTCTTTTTTTTTGTTGCCCGCACGCAAACTCCTAAATTTCGCATATTGAATGCGGGTCTGTGTAGTCATGTGACCAGCTGGCTAGCCAGTCAGCAAATGTCTAAATATGGACACGACTTGGCCATGATTCAGTGTGAGGGGAGCGGCCGGATGGCAGACATTCGCCAGCTAAGTAAATACACAGTTTAAGCCAGTTTTATAATAATTATTATTATAATAATGACGATCGCACACTTACTATAGAGATAAAAAGAGTGATAAAAAAGGAGCATTTTCTAAAGAATTTAGTCGCAAGCCAAATGGAAATGAACGATAACAAAAACACACACACACACACGACACAGACACGCGCCCAACTTGATGGAAATTTACCCAAGCGTGACGCCCATATAAACAATTTAATAAATTAGCGTTAACTGTCAGCAAAAGCAAACACAATTTTATTTGGTTTACAGCGCCCAACACCTGACCTATCACAATGTTAATATGCTACACTCCACCCACCAGCAGGGAGAAGCAGCAGCAGCAGCAGCAGCAGCAGCAGCAGCAGAAATTCTCAATGAGTTTTAACTGCCAACACTTCGAAGTTTACATTTTAGCAAAGTGCAAAAACCTCGCATTTAATTAGCAGTGAAAAGTTTATCACGTGATGGCGAACAAAGGAGAGCAGCAACAGCTGAGACCGAGAGAGTGCGACTGTAATGGCCATAAATACACACATATACCAATACATATGTACATAAATATATATCTACACACGCATGTGTGTGTGTATCTGCCCTGTTGCCACGAATTGGCCAATACACACTTGAAAGTGCCAAAATGCTGATGATATATGCTATATATTTCGAGCCTTATCGGGCATTTAGACCATCAAACCACCCCGTCCCAGCCCCCTCACACATACATATGCATTCATGCTGATCGCGCTAATCGATTTAACAGAAATCGCTGCGCAAACGATTCGCGCACGTTGTGAACTGAATGGGAAATGCAAATTGTAAGTGAACAATTGAAATAGCTGTTGTTATTATTATTATGATTGTTGTTGTTGTTGCTGTTGATCGAACGAGTCATACTCACACTATCGCACAATCAATAAGCAAACAAACAAACATGCATACAAACAAACAAAGAGAGACCGCAATCAGAACCGTTGACGGCGGGTGCAAGCGTCAAAAATCAACATTGTTAACGCGCACAGTTCAGCATATAATATATAAGTAAATAAACACTAATAAATAATAATTAAATGAATTAACAGCAAAACAACAGAGCACTGCATGTGACGCAGCGGAGCGAAGACTAGATACCCTTACTTAGCATACTGCATATTATGTAGTCTAAGAATAAACTTATACTCGACAAATCTGTCCAATTTTAAATATCCTTCGCTTTAAGGGTATTTATACACACACTCAGCCATGCACATACCTCACCCAACTGCGGCGAAGCCAACAACAAAATGTGTATGACATAATAATCACGAGAGCAGGCAGCGACTGTGAACGCCGATTAGCAAGTCATGTGATTCGTTTTTATTTACATTTGCGCCTGACGTCCGCCGTTGCCGCAGCCGTCTCGCTGCCACCAATGCCAACACAATCATATACACACAAACACATGCAGACGCCTACGTTACCCCAACGACGTCGTTGATCGAAAGAGAGCGCGAGAGTGGCAGACTGAGAGCTCGTTTCTACAAACGAAGCGAAACTAGCCGAACACCACACCAATAAAAGCGTGAGGCGAAATTAGTGGGGCGATTGGAGAGCAGCAGCGCAGCCGCGGGCTAGTAATAGTGTTGTTGGCTGGGGGCGCACCTTTGATTTGCACTTTGACTTCCAACAGCACTACAACAGATATCAGACCACATACACACACACACAGACACATAGATACGAACCCACAGAGATGGGGCCCCGCAGCATTGCATTTTGGCGTACGTGACAAATATCGAAGCATTTGCCAAAATGTTTGTTGGGTTATTGTCCCCATTTACGTTCGCCAATTTGCGTACGAGGCACAAAGAGGAAGAGATAAAGAGAGTCGCGAACTGGCAGTCACAAAGGCTAGGCAAAACCAATGAAAATGCTATCGTTCCAATACTTTTTGTATTTTTTTTGCCCACAAGCTGATTGCATGTGCAGCTGCCTAACGGCCACAGGGGTTGTGCGCCTTTGTTTTCGCCGTCCTTTAACGGACGACTTAATGCCAGGTGCTGGGCATTACCGACAGTCGTTAGAGATGTGTGCGTGATGAGTTAGCCTAACACGACACGTGCCGATCAGCAGCACTTAAACGTCTCCATATATGTGTGTATGTACATGTGTGTGTATTTACATACAAACACATTCATACAAACACTTACCTTAGATAATTTCTGGACGTTTGCGTAGCTTTTGCGGACGACGAACTATTGTTGCCGGCAGAGGCGTGAGTACGTGATGCCGCCTCCGCTACTGTTGTTTGGCCATAATTTAGCGTTGCTTGCGCTGTTGTTGTTGGGGTTGTTTGGGGCGCAGAGAACTGCGGTGCCGCTGCCGATGGCGTCGCTTGCGTGGGTGCTGCTGCTGCGGTTGGCGCTGGTACCGACGGAAAGAACAGTTTGTTCAACAAGGCCATAATAATATACAACTGGCGCAATCGCAATCATTTATTAAACACATCTGGCCAGCCAACACAAATTATTGCAATTCACTTGAAACAATTGCTCTGCCTCTTGCTTTTCCGTTTGCCTTTAGTTTTGCAGCTCTTTTTCTTTTCGTTGTCGCTGTTGTTGTTGTTTCTGTGCATGTGTCTCGCGGGTGGAGAGCTGTGGCGGCGGCAGTTGCAACTGCCGTTATTTATCTAACACGCGCGCTGCCCGAGACGCACAAATACAAGCAAATAAAAAAGCTAAACAAACGCTTGACGCACACTCAAGATTTTACACAATTGAACTTTCGCTTTGCACTTTTCTTTTTATTTACATTTACTTGTATGCACACACACATGCAACTTCAACACACATTCGCACACATATGCACGTATGCTGCTTGCTCTTTTTGGCAAATGATCTCTTCCTGTCTTAGCCAAAATACACACGCGCGTTGTTCTTTGGATTGAATATTGCTATTTTTGTGTTTATTTTCGCGAATGTCGTCCGGCGCGGAGTGGTCAGAAGCGGAGGGCTCTGCCAATTTCACAAGCAAGCATACACAAATTCTGTATTTATTTTCTCCACTTTTAATCAAAATAATTAACGATTTTGCGCGCCCACACACACACACGTCCGCCACAAATCAGATGTGTATTTGCTGTTTGATGCATGTACATATATCCCAAATATTGTTGAAACGCACAAGTAATATATACGTATGCGCATTCAGTTGTCGTTTTATTTTTCAAACAAATTATTATTTTTTCATTCGACGCGCGACGTACATGCTACTCCGACGGCAAAACAACAACAAATGTTATTCTTCTTGAATGTTAATACGTTAACAGGAACCACCGCGTCTACTTGTCATACTTATGCTTCAAAGCTGTTATTGCTCAAATGAACTGGGGCTGCTCAAATGATCTTTTAAGTAACTGTTAAGTCTAACATTCTATGTTAATGGTATTATCGAAAACTTATCGATATCATCCTATCATATTGGCTGTTATTTTCAAACTTCTGTCAAATTTGGAGAATAAAATTTGATTTTTAGAAATTATTTAAATGTATATGCAAGTGATTCAAGGAAGTGACAAATTTAGTTAGGCCACTTTTATAATTTGATAAATTTTAATTGTTGAACTTTATTTGTTGACTTACATAAACATACTCAAAAAATTTTAGACCCACATACATGCGAGGAAAAAGTGGGAAATTGGTTTTACATATGCTGTTGCTTTCTTCTTTTTTTCATTTGTAGTTAAACTGATCAAAAGTAAAAAAAAAAAACATTTCCTTCTTAGACATTAATGCTAAGTATTTGTAATTCCTGCCACCACCGATGTGTAGGAATACCGTAGATAATTGAAAGTGTTTACGTTTGTCGCAATAACTATAAGAGATTTTGATATCAAATAGAAATAAATGATGCGACTTTGAGCCGCTCCATAGAGAGAAGCTTACATTATGGTTTTAGTGTTTTATACTTTTGTTAAACTGGTTGCTTGCTTGCGTGCCTGTATGTGTAAGTATGCGTGTGTAAGTGTACGTGTGTGTGGTGTGTGTGGTGTGTGTTGTGTGTGAGTGTGGAGCGAGGGAGAGAAAATATGTTGGCCACGGAGCCGACTATTCCTTGCAAGTGGAAGTATCCATGGGGCTGGCCGGCTGTATAAACGCCGTGGCCGCACCACTTGGTTGATTAGTGGGCGTAAAAGCCGAAAGGGATGAGTTGCTGCTGCTGTTGACCAAATTACCGCTGGACGAATTGTTCATCATCAAGTTGGACGACGAGGACGAGGCGCTGCTGGGTGTGCCCGTTAACTGGTTATTCAACGATAATATGCCGCCGGCAACGAAAGTGCCCGCACCGCCGCCGGCATTATGTGCCGATCCCTGCGTTAATCCACCACCTAAGCTCAGTCGTTCGCTGCTAAGATTCGATAGAAAGCCACCCATACCACCGCCAACACCACCACCACCACCAACGCCAGTACCAGCACCAGCGCCAGCGCCAGTTGCGTTGCCGCCATAGATGCCAGCGGATCCGGTGGCCATCAATGGATTTGCGGTGGTTAACACATTCGGTGCGGAAGTGTTAAGGCCCAGCATGGGCGTAGGCAGTGCTGGCTTGATGAAGCGCTCGCTGGCGCGACGATTCTAAAAAGTTTAAATATTTCGTTAATTTGCTTGTCCGGATTTCACAATGTAATTGTGCTTACCACAAGTTGCCCGCAGGCATAGCAACGGTTCTGTCCGGCCGTTCCGGGACTAAGAGGACGACTGCTTGAGGGACTGTGCGAAACGGGACTGCTAATGGTGCGCTGTCGTTGAGCATTTACAGCTGCAGCAGCGGTCGGCCCGCCAGCCATAAGATTCTCATTGTAAAAGCGCTCCTCGTCCATTTCTAGCGACGACTCCGATTCGGAGAGATGGCGGCATAGAGCCTCACGTCGTTCCACCTCCTGTTTGAGTTTGCGCTGCAGCCTGGCGTTCTCCTCCCTGATGGACTTCTCCTCCTTTTGGGCGGTAGCGAGATTGGCGCGCAGACGCAGCACCTCGGAGCGCAACGTCTGGATGTGTGCGCTCAGATTAGTGGCGGTGTCGCCATTGGCATTATTGGTGATATCACGTGGCGTTGTCGGATCAGAGACCGGCTGATCAAGTTTTATTTGCAGTGAGCGCTTCTCCGTCTCCAACTTGTCCATGCGCTTCCACAGTTTGTTGACCAGCGCCTCCTGTTCCTGTTCGAGTGTGTTCTCCAGCTCAACCATTTCGCGACGCAGCTGCTCGAGATTGGTCTGCTTGTTATCTGTTTCTGCTTGCAGTTTCTCGATTTTGCGCATCAGCTTGTTCACCAAGCACTCCTGCTCCTGCTCCAACGTCTGCTCCAGTTTGCACTTCTCCTGGCGCAGCTGGTCCAGCTTGCGCGACAAGTCGTTCGTGAGGCACTCTTCTTCGCGCTCGTAGTGATGCGCCAGCGTCTCCTTTTCCTTTTTAAGTGCTTGGATTTTCTTCAACAACGTGTTGGAAATGTACTCTTCCTCCTGTTCCGCCTTGGCTTGCTGTCAATGGAAATCATTTGGTTACAGATGGCGCACACGTGTCTATATTCAGTACTCACGATTATAACAGATGCCTGTTTCAAAAAGCGATTCTCCTCCTGCACCACCTTGCATTTTGTCTTGGACGTGTCCAGCTCAGCTTTTAGAACTCTGCGAAAAATAGCATTAAAATAAGTTTCAGAAGTTTCTGGAACAATGCAGCCCCTTTGGGCTCACTCACTTATTTTGCTGTGTCAGCGACTCGATGCGCTTCTGTAGCTGCTCCCGGGATACTGGACTCGGTGGCAGCATTGTGCCACCATCCAGGGAGCTTTCCGACTCACAAGGACTCTCCATAGCTGCAGGGAAAGAGAAAACAGTCGCAATGCGACGCTGGCAATTAAAACGAATTTCTCGAATTTGCTTTCGCTTGAAATTCAATAAAGAAAAATAAAAGGGAAAACAGCGCAAAACAACAAAAGAATAATGTATGCGCTTCTGGGACTCTGATCGCAGTTGTTATTTTATTTCTTGCATATTTCGTTGTTGTTGTTGTCGTTATTCTTATTGTTGTCGCGCAGCGCAGCAAACAAAGAACAGCGTCCGTGCCATAGAAAATTGTTTAACCTTCACTTGTGTGCAGTTCACTTGATTTTTGCCTCTGCTGTCTGATTTTTTTTTATTTTATTTTCATTTTCACTTTTTTTTTGGGCTTTTTTATGCAATTTCAGAAATCGATAGCAGCACAAGGTCAGCCAGAGTGGCATTGAATAGAACAGACATCTCGCGCTGAAGGCGGCTCCAGGGAATCTGAACGGCCAGTGCCACCCACCCCAGAAGCAGGCGGGCGCCCCTACGTACGCCCCTCTGCACAACGCCAGACCCCTTCAACAGCTGCCGACAAAAACGTTGCCGTTTCGGGCGTTGCTCGTCATTTTAATTGAAAAGTTTGCATTTACAGTTGGCAAACATTTTGCATTGCTTTACACTTAATTAACATTTACCTGAACCCTGCCGTCGCTTCTTCTGTTTGGCTCCCTAAAAGAAAATTTTTTTACTACGCGCCGCCTTTGCTGCTGGTGCTGCTTCTTGCCAGTGCCAGGGCGAGTATTGAGCTTTTATATTTTTTGACAGCGCTCTGTCAGTGTTACTAGGCGTTTGGCGTACAAAGGACGTGTATGCGTGTGCCAGTAAGTCGGGCCTATTTAATAGGTTTTCACTTTGCTAAAACGCAAAAGCATTTTGCAAGTTTAACTAAAAATGAATAATGCGAAAAAACTGCTTCGCAGCACAGTGTGACCGTTTGGGCCGCAAAACTAAAATGCACCGACAGTGTGACCGAAATTCTTTTTAAAACTAAAATGTCAAATCCCTATGTCTAGCTTGGTATTAAAATACCAAACTGTTTCACTTCGCCGCTAGCACGTGCAAAATAAACAGTTGCGGAATTTTACTTTATTTTGTTTTAAATAATGGCCGATGATGCTGGCCAGGACAAGCGCAAACAGCACCGCGCACGCCAGTCTGGCGTCAAGGCGGACAAGAAGAAGGTAAAGGCCAAAAAGGACGCCAATCAAAAGGAACCTGAGCTGACTGCGCGCCAACGTAATCCAAAAGCGTTTGCCATCAACTCGGCCCAACGTGCGGAGCGCAATTTCCGACGCAAAGAGGATCTAACGGCCAAGAAGCAGCACATACCCGTCGTCGACCAGACACCCGATGAGCCGCCACCTGTGCTGATTGCCATTGTGGGCCCACCCAAAGTGGGCAAAACAACGCTCATCAAGAATCTGATCAAGAGCTTCACGCGCACCAATGTTACGGACATACGTGGTCCGATCACCATAGTCACCTCAAAGAAGCGCCGCATTACCTTGCTGGAGTGCAACAATGACATCAACTCCATGATCGATGTGGCCAAGTGCGCGGATCTGGTGCTGCTGCTCTGTGATGCCAGCTATGGCTTTGAAATGGAGATTTTCGAGTTCCTCAATATTTGCCAGGTGCACGGCATGCCCAAGATTATGGGTGTGCTGACGCATCTGGACATGATCAAGAATCCCAAACAGCTGCGTAAACGGAAAAAGGAGCTAAAGCATCGCTTCTGGACGGAGGTCTACGACGGCGCCAAGCTCTTCTATCTGTCGGGTCTTCTGCATGGCGAGTATTTGCGCAATGAGATCAAGAATCTGGGTCGGTTTATATCTGTCATGAAATTCCGGCCACTACAGTGGCGCGGTGCGCACAGCTACCTTCTGGTGGATCGTGTGGAGGATATAACCAACACGGACACGGTGCGCCGCAACCCCAAATGCGATCGGGAAGTTGTCCTATATGGCTATGTGCGCGGTGTGCCGCTCAAGCAGGAGCACATGGTGCACATTGCTGGCCTGGGCGACGCACGCATCGACGAGCTGAGCCTCATACCTGATCCGTGTCCACTGCCGGGCACAGAGAAGAAGCGTAGCCTGTTGGAAAAGGAGCGTCTACTCTATGCACCCATGTCGGGTGTGGGTGGCATTGTATACGACAAGGATGCGGTCTACATTGAACTCCAAGGATCACACTCGCACAAGCAAAAGACGGCCGAGGCCACGGAGCAGGAGGCGCTAGTCAACAAGCTGATAGACAAGAAAACCACCATGGATGAGCAGATTGAACAGCAGGAATTCCGGCTCTTTTCAGACAGTGCGCCTATTAAGTCCAAAGATTTCAAAAGCGAAGATGAAGCCGAGGCCGAGGCTGAGTCAGATCAGGAAGATGACAACGATGCAGATGATTCGGGGCTGGACGCAGCCTCCGGCGATGAAGACCAGCCTGACGAATTTGCGGCCGATGATTGGCGTGACGAAAACAGCGACGAGGACGAGCAGATGGAACAGGTTAGTGACGATGCGTCCTCTGGCGACGAGGAGTATCAAAGTTTGGCAGATGTCAAAGGAGCCACGGCACCCAGCG